CTGCCACAAACTGGCAAACTTTAAAGGCCGCAACCCAACAATGAGTAAAGCATGGCTGCCATGGAGCTGGACTTTCTTTTTTTCTGTTATTGATGTTACATCACATTTGTAAAGTTGATGGAAATCTGACTCATTTATTGTTGCAGGACCGAAACTGCTGACTAGAAATCCTCTGATTTTCACCAATTCTTTCTTTCTTGAAGGCACAGAGAAAGTAGCCAGTCAACTCTGATCATGCTTTATGTGATCTTAGCTTTGAAACTAACAATACAAATCCTGATTCTCAATGTGTCATTTATAGGAATCATCAGAGAGTACCAACACCACAATTGAGGATGAGGATACTAGAGGTGAGACTGTCTGTCTGTTGGTCTTTTTCTGATTCTAGGGATTCAGAGCGCTTCACATTTCCTCCAGTTTCTGACAAAACTTAGCAGTAGCTCCATCAACAACATGTCCATTTGAATTAAAAGGATAGTTCACCCAAAAAGGAAAATTTGCTGTTAATTTACTCAGCCTTGGGTCATCCAAGATGTACGTGACTTTTTTCTTCAGTAGAACAGTTTTGAGCTGAAACCGTGGTCCTTGGTGATTCATAAAATGCAAGCCAACAGCTACCGGTTTTTGAAAAAAAAAAAAAAAGCATATAAGGGACACTAAATTAATACCCGTGGCTCCTGATAATATATTGAGGATAAAATATTGAAGTCTGTGTAAGAAACTGAGCATTATTTACAACATTATTACCTGTAATCCAGAACCGCAGGTCCGGAGTGATGTTCGGTTCAGAATTGAATCACTCTTTTGAACCGCTTCTTCTTAGTGAACTAGATGAACCAGTTGACCAAATAGGACTGAATCATCTGAAACAGTTTGTGTCTCGAGCAGCACAGATCTAAAAGTTACTCAATCAAAACTCACTTTCAGACGCCTGACAGTCACTGTGACTGGAAATAAGCCAAAATACATGCAAATCTGATTCTATGATGAATGAATCATTCAGCTCTCCAGTTCCTCCAACAGTCACTGAACTGAGGAAACAGTTCCTTCTCAGACCGAAGACCGTTGATCCGCTGATATGAGCACGTGTGAACGAACACATGAATGAAGGGGTGAAATGAAAGTTTTTATGGTTTCTCATGGTTTATGTAAAAATGTGAGCTTATTAATACCAGTTTATTCACTTTATATGCTTTAGACATGTAAAACATCCACGTTTCACGTCCTTATTGGGTGCTTTAATAATATAATTGTATAGACATGACGTCATTTTGAGATTACGCAAAAAAAACTGGTGAATCAGTTATTTGAACCTGTTCATTTAACTGTCCGAAAGAACCTTTTCCCCGAAAATAATCAGAATTCTCCATTTGCCTGAGGCTCTGGATTACAGGTAATAATGTTATAAATAATATTCAGTTTCTTGCACAGACCGATCGTTTCACTTCATAAGACCGCAATATATCGTCAGGAGCCACAGGTGTTCATTTTGTGTTCCTTGGTATATGCTTTTTTTAAATCTCAAAAACGGTCAGCTGCTGACTTGCATTTGAATCACCAAGGATCACGGTTTCAGCTAAAAATCTTCTTTACTGTTCTACTGAAGAAGAAAAAATCATCTACATCTTGGATGGCCTGAGGGTGAGTAAATTAACAGCAAATTTAAATTTTTGGGTGAACTATCCCTTGAATTAAAGAGCAGGTCATGTGGTATTTTAAAGTGTCCTAATATTGTGTTGGAGTCCCCTACAACAAGTTTAAATGCATCTAGAAAACATTGTAATTTTCTCAGAATATACATTTAATATTAGAGTCATTTGCAAATGATTTCTAAACAGTTCGTTCCAAGCAAGTTCGGAGCAGACCCCTCCCTTCCATAAGCCTACTCTGCTCTGATTGGTCAGCTGGCCAAGCCTGTTGTGATTGGCACAGAGAAGAGTCCTTGAGCAAGTTAGCGAGCGCTACCATTGACAAAGCACCTTTGCATAAAACAATAATACAGTGCTCCAATCCGTTCTTATAATAATGACATAAAATACAAAAAACACTTATGCAAACTAATCGTGCCCACAGCTAAAGTTTAGCTGCTAAACTGTGAACACTTAAAACAATAATGGTGGATACGTTAGCCGAGTGCTAACGTGACTAACTGAGGAAACAATACAGTTTGTAAACCAAAAGATGTCTACTGTAATGTTTGAAGAACGACCGACAAAAGACGCTCTGTGTCTTAACTTTTAATCAGAACGCAGAAAACAGCAATTTCACAATTAATATAAAGTCTGTGCGCTACACTACGTTCTTTATTATTAAACGAAGTAATTAGAACAACGTCAGTCTACATTAATCGGCACATTCTTAAGAAATAGTGGGTTCACAGCGAATTATCAGAACTACTTCAGTAAGACAGTAATATTGTGCTTTACCTGAAAACCTAAAGCTGCACTAGGTGTACATCACATATTAGCAGAAAAACATGATATTTTGAGCACTCAATTGAGAATGTACACATGACGTATCGTCAATCGTACTTACAGGTTGTGCTTCGGAGAGCTTGTTAGTCCAAATTAAGAAGATAGAAGAAGCCAACGAAGATAAAAGCTAAGATTAGAGAAGCAGTCCTAGGTAAAATGACATGCACACAACAAAAGGTTTGAATTGTATTTCTGTGGTATATCCTTGAACACAGCGTCTTCTCAACATGATGTAAACACACTAACTAGCAGAAGTGTTTGTGGGCAGGTCAGACTCTGTTCATATTTCGCGGGCAGGCCGGGATTATGCAAATGTGTTACCCAGTGACGTATACCGGTAACAGGCAAAAGATTCGAAAATATGACGACTCGTTAAGGCGATTCAGAATCGACTTTCTCTTTTGAGAGACAATATCTTTATTTATCCTGCACTTTTTTGATTAACAACTTTGCAGATTGTTTTCATTTAAGGATAGCTACATTATAAACTGCAAAAGAGATATTTTTCAAAAAAAAACATATGACCTGCTCTTTAAGCACAGAGCACAGAATTGTTCATTCTGATGTTACTTTTATTTACCAATATTGGTTACACAATTATATGGCAGGTACTTTTATCAAACTTCACTAACATTATAAGAGAATCTCAAGGAAAATAATAATTCAAAGTGACATCTGTATAGTCAAATCTATCACAGTCTGATCCCCTGGAGAAACCTTTAAATATTTATCTTTCTGCTTTGCAGCGAGGAAGCAAGAAATCATCAAAGTAACTGAGCAACTCATTGAGGCCATCAGCAATGGAGATTTTGAGAATTACACGTGAGTTTTTCATCCAGTCTTTCACCATCCACATTTGCTAATCTATAAATATGAATGTACTGTAATGGAGACTGGCAACGGTTGTGCCATCTTTATCATCTGTAAAGGCCTGTTCCCGTCAATGATGTTAACTATAACTATAAACTTTGACTAATTGTTCTTGTTATATGAGAATAGCGAAGTCCACACCACAACTATAACGATAATGACAGAGAGGAATTAGATTGTTGGAATCATTTTCAGAACAATTTTTTCCAGCTGATGAGTGATAAAAACATTGACAGCCAATCTATAAAGAGCTCAAGCATTTAAAGCAGCAGACAACATAACTGCAGTGCATGCTTATAATAAACAGAATGTTATTGTGTGCTGGTGTGGATGCAAATATGGTTATTGTCCTTTGGGTGAATAGGCATTACTTCATTAGATTTTTTTCAATGTATTGTTTGTGCAATTTATCTCAAACTAATAAAAGAGATGGATTGTAACACTAAAGCCTCTTTGAGGCAGAGGTCATGTCCAAATGCATTACGTAAAGTTCACTAAGTCTGCATAGATGCATCACTCCATTTGTCAGCCATTATTATTATCTTTTTCCCTCTTGTCTGTATATAAACTTTCTCCTTCTTTTACCCATGGTCATAATCACATGGTAACTGAGATCTTCAAACCTGGACCATTTGTACTTCCATATAGATTTGACTGCTAAAAAAATACTTAATACTTGACCTGAAGATCAAATTTGGTAAGAAATTACAAAATGTGTAGGAGAAGTAAAAAAAACAAACAATTGCAGTTGTTGATCGCTAGGTGATCTCAATTTCAAGGATGCACATCAAGTTTCATTTCAGCACATCATAGATTTAAAAAGATGTTAAGATTCATAATGGTGAAGAGACAAATTGGCTGAGAGTCATTGATATAATCTGATTCAGCACGATCCAAGAAATCCATTGAGCCATTGTGATTTTAGGACAAATAGTCTCTTGAACAGTAGATGACGCTATCATAAAACTTGCATATGGAGCAGATGGCCTCCTGTCATGCTTATCAGGGAACAAGTTATCATTCCAGATATTCCTCATAGCAAACTTCTTCATTTCTGCTTCTCCTCTCAATCTGAATGCTGGTGTGTCTGGCTTATAGGCTTATTACAAAATGATGTTTTAAAGAGCTCCTCAACCAGTTATCATCAAAAGAATTCATATTTCCTAGGATCAATTATCAAATTAAAGTAGGTATATATCACCATCCTGGTATGCAATAAAGAATTTATCTCTGGGAAACAACATGTCAAGATATTTGAAGACCAATAAGTTAATGTCAAGACTACATTAAATGTGATAAATTATCAATATGTTAATATGATATGTTATACTATGTTTGTGTGCAGGAAGATGTGTGATCCCAGCGTTTCAGCGTTTGAGCCTGAGGCCCTGGGAAACCTGGTAGAAGGGCTGGATTTCCATCGCTTCTACTTTGACAACCGTAAGATGCAACATGTACCTGTATTCTAATTCATAAGAATTAAAAGCAAAATTCTAATTCGCTTCTGCCTAATGCTATTTCACCTCAAAATTTGTATAATGCTGGTTGAATAAGAGCAGGCATGGTTTACATATAAATATGCAAATATTGGATATTGTCTAATCCAAAATGTGTGGTGTTTCTAATTTGTCAAAGCAAAATGTGATGTGGTGTTTAATTGGGACATCCAGACAATGGTTTAGGATTCACTTGTTCAAAATACAAAAATATCCAGCAAAGACATAACACTGATGACAGGGGAGCTCCTTTATGCTTCCTGTTCATCTTTTCTAAACTTCATATACGGGAGAGTGGAGTAAGTTGACCCACTCCCTGCATCTTGGCAACTGTACACTTTAACTCTCATGTGACCACCTATAATTATAGCCAGACTATGAAAAGGAGAAACACATGGGAGGACTGGAAGGCCCATTTATTTTAAAAACTGTTTTTGGCTTGTCAAAGTCAAATTTTACAATTTTAGCATAGGTAGGCGCGTTTCCATTCCGGATTTGCACAAAACTTTGGAGATATTTCATAAATGTCGATAAAAAAGTATTGCGAAATGACGGCGTTTCCATTAACCGATGTTATGCAACTAAAACTTAATTTGTTCCTCTCGCGATAAGTCATGACAGTGGATTTTGATGGATTTTGGCTACACTAGCCATTATATTTAATTGAAGGAGGCTTATGCGTGTATCTTGACAGAAGCAGCGTGGAGAACAGCTTCTGGGACGTGCCGTGGTACGACTGGTAACACAAGCTTTGACTAGAGTGGCCGCGATCAGCTCCGGTGGCCGTTTCGGAGCCGTAACACGCTGCAGACGTGTGCAGTATAAATAGTCTAAGCATTAATGGCAGGGAAAGCCCCTTATACTTGAGAGCAGCCACATATGAAGTGCTTCTTGGAAGTTATAGAACATTGAGGAATGATCATACGACTTTTTACGTACGCCATTTGACCTGTTAATGTGAAAGAAACGTTTCCGTTGCAGTTCTGCTAAATATTCCTTTTTCGAATTGCCTGAAAAACCATCTCATGCAAGCGTAAAAACTTGTTTGCAATATGGGCGTTTTTGCAAAATTGATGCGTTTCCATTAAGCATATTTTCAATTCGCAATTTCAATTTGCGCAATTTGAAGGGTAATGGAAATGCGCCTACAGACGTAATGGTTGTTACATCAAAGGAAATTTATCCAGGTTTAAAAATATTTATGATGCACACAGGGGATTTAGCAACATATAAAACCATGCAAAACATTTAGCTAAATATTAACCTGAATTATTAAGCTAGCTAGTTTTTTTTCTCCAAAATGGCAGCTATGGGGCAAAGTAAGTCAAATGCTGTGGGGTAAATTGAGCCAAATTGAGCCTTACCCCACCATAAGGAACTGAAGTTAAGATAAATCTCTGAAGTATTAACTGGTATACTGCATATATATATATATATATATATATATATATATATATACAGTATATATGTTTTTGGGAAGGTTAGAACTTTGATGTTCAACATATTGTTTCATAATTGCAAACAATTGAAAAATGAAACTTCATTTGGTTGGTTTTATGTTGTTTAAGTTAGCTTTAAGACCAAAAAATGTGACTGTTTTTAAAAGGAATTTTTTTTAGTTTTTAAAAGAGGTAAATCTTTAAAGATTTCACATGGGTTTGAATCAGATTCAGTCAGATGGTCAGTTTACACCCAGATGGTGCATGTTACCCACTGACTTGGGTCAACTTACCCCTAACCTGGGACAAATTGAGCCATGGGAACACTTTTTTCCAAGAAGCCATATTTTTAGAACCCTACATTTTAGAACCCTTTGTCATAGATACATTCTTATAATTAAAAATGTTTCCTGAAATTACTTTAGATACTTTTATTGGCCCCATTTTCCCTTTTCTTGAGGACCAGTAAAAAATGGCTCATCTTACCCCACTCTCCCCTACTGCATCACCATTTGTTGAGTTATAGAAGTCATTTTTTTCTTGAATTAAACTCGCCACATCCAAACAGATTCAACAGCTGAAATATTTGTTAAATGCCACTATTGTTTTTTTTTTTAACCATATCATCATTTATTATAACTTACATAAATTAATGTTACACTCTAAATAATGGGACAAACCCAGCAATTGGGTTGCTTTGACCCAGCTGTTGGGTTACTACCCAGAAGGTTGGGTTGAACATTTAACCCAGCCGCTGGGTCAAAACAGCCCAATTGCTGGGTTTGTCCCTATTTTACCCAGCACTGGGTTGTATTTAACCCAGCATTTTTAGAGTGTATGAACTGTATATGTACAGGAGTTTTCGTTTTTGTTTTTTCACTGGTGTTGTTTTACTTTTCACTCATTTTATTAAATTATTCATTGCATTGTGTTTTAGCATCTAGCATAAAATGATTGTGCTGGTAACTCTGTAGTTTTAGGGTTAAAGGAAATGTTCATAAATGGAAAACATGCGTTGAAAAAAATTGGCGTACAAACAATTTTCACTGAGAAAACGTTAATAAACAACAATTAATTAAAAAGAAACTGCAAGTAACATATTGAATGATTGACATATTGAAGTATAAAGACTGAAATAGCATTTTTTTGTCAAATGCCCTCCAGTAATCTTTTTTACAGTGTACTGGTAATTTTTGGCCAGGACATTATCCATTTTTCAACAGATTTTTTTTTCTTAAAGTGTATGTTTTCAATGTTCTACCAGTCACATTCAATGGTAAGCTATGGTCATCAACATATAAGTGTTGCTGCACATTGTGTTGGATTGTGTGCATTACCCAACAAGCCTTGAAACATTATTGGAATATTAAATTTTTTCATTTTGCAAACATTATTGGAACATTACTTTGGAATCGTCTCAAAACAAGTAGTGAATAGTAACATTTTAAACACTAGACGATCATCCAACTGAATGGTTTCATTAAAAAATATATAATAATTTATGATATTTTTGTGCTAACATTTTGAGAACATTATTCAAGACCCGCTAACTGTGAACAAACGTTCTGTTAACGTTACTGCAAGACCTTTTGCTCATTACTTTGAGAGAAACATGACAGATGGATTGCGGAACCTCTCTAGCAACCTAGAGATTTTTGTGAAAATTTGATTTATTTATTTTTTTTTACAGTGTGGTCAAAGAACAGCAAGCCAGTCCACACCACCATCCTGAACCCTCATATCCACCTGATCGGCGAGGAGGCCGCCTGCATTGCCTACATTCGTATCACGCAGTATCTCGACACAAACGGAATGCCATGCACTGCCCAGTCAGAGGAGACACGGATCTGGCATCGTAAAGACGGCAAGTGGCAGATAGTCCACTTCCATCGCTCAGGCTCTCCGTCTGCCATCACTAAATAAGAGAGTCAGGTAATAAATCTAAAAATTAATTATTAGCATTTATTATTATACACAAATGTAATGATTGCAGAGGCAGATTCAGCAATTCTTAAAATTTTGCTCTATTTTACAATTTTTTTTTAAATCTCAAGAAAAATCTTTTTGCAATTGCTGGGATCAGTTTTTTTCAATACTTTGTGTACTTTTTTCAAAACTCTTCACACAGTGTCAGCTAAACTGTGGATCATTTTTCATTTAGTACAAAATGCATTCAACGACTGCATCTTTCAAATTACATTAATTATTTTCTCACTCAAACACAACCACTGGCAAAACTCCACAGGTCGATTTGGACTTATAGTAACTGTTAAACTTAAGTTCAAAACCTAACATAGCAATTTGCTACAGTTCTACATCACACCATATTTAAATACATTGCAAATCTAACAAATGAAATGCTATCAAAACAATTAGATTTACAGTAGCTGAACACTTACACAGGTGTTAGATTTTCAGTGTCCCTCACCATCTACACAAAATGGTAAAAATAGGAATAATGTTGTACTGTAATGTAAATTCGGACCATGCAGCAAGTACTGCAGTGAGTAGAGAGTGCCATTCTTGTTTTTTAAAGACATTTTACAGAAGAAAACATTGTATGATGCTACCGGTTGTTAGTGTTTTTTTATTTTTTATGTCATTGCTTTATTAGTCACAAAGTGTGTTTATTGGATGATTCATTTGAAACACGTATGAAGTGTTTCGGTAGTTTTAGTGCACTTCGAATGTGGAATTTACTGCTGTGTCCAGATGAAAATTGGTTCGGAGAGCTGTGTGAAGAGTTTGAGTCTGCCAATAAGTATTAAGTACTGAGAACTGGACCCTACCGATTGTAAAAAAACAAAACAAAACAAAAAACTCTATTTATCATAATTTTATTGAAATTGTTTCTACATTAATATACTTTCTTCAAGCCCAGTGGCTATAATTCAGCCATTGGTACAGGTTGAACTGTAACACTGTAATAATGAACGGTTCATAAACAAATTGTTCTTGAATATGTTCGGCAGATCGGAGTGAATCTGTTGAAACATGTAAACACAGTGGACACTCATTCAAAACCAGCCCAGATCTGGGAGTAATACAGTTTGATCCTAGAGCTGATTATGTCTGCATCTACAAACTGTACAACAATTGGCTTCAAACTAGGGCTGTGACGAGATCTCGCGATATTATAATGTGACGATAGGTGTGTACGACTTGAAGCGGCGCTGTGCAGACCGATCGCTCTCACGATATTTTGATGTCATACACCGATTGGTCTGCGCAGCGCCGCTTCAAGTTGAACACTGGATATTTATCGTCGAGGTGAAAGGCTGTCTCGCGATATCAGCATAATTGCAAAATCAGTTTTGCTCAATTTCGCAAAGGAAATAGTTCCAAACAAAGCCACAGCAGAACTGTTCTGCGTCTCCGAGCAACACACAGCGGTGATTCTTTACTAAATGAATCTGCGGTTTTGAATGAATCAAGTGAGTCAATGACTTTCAGTCGAATAAAAGAAGATTTCATAAAAATAGTGTTAAAATATCATCTCGATACTGTGTATTGTCTCGTCTTGTGAGCTAAGTACTACAAAGAAATCATGCTGAACTGAAACAGTACAATGACACAGTGAACTGCTCACAGCAGTCGTCAATAATACACTGACACAATGAATCCGTGACAGGATTGCTCCAGTGACTCTGACTCAGGGCCATGTACAGTGTCTATCAAACCAGTGAGAGCCAATGAGAGTCAAGCTTCTTTAATAGCAAACAGCATGCTGAAAATATGTTGATTTACTTCGCATTTTTTTGAAAATATGCAAAAATCTTTTTTTAAGCTCAGAGATTTATAGTTAATAAATTTTACTATTGTACCATGAAGATTCATCAGACGCTCATTTGCATTATTTACAAGCATTTCGTACACTGTTTGCATTTAAATAGATGGACCATTTCCAGCAGATTTAGTTTACAGACAACTTTCAGTCATGTTTAACTAAAGATTTTCATTTACAATATACAATTCAAAACTTTGCCATTAGCAGAGTCCATGCCATCAAACAGATCTTTGCACACTCGAGCCCTGAGAATAATTTTACTCTTGACTCATCGTGAGTCAGACGTGACGAATTCAGCGAGAACGGCAACACACGGACCAGTGCAATTTGTGAACATACCTAGCCACTAAGGGGACATGGTAATGGAAAAAAGCATATAGAATATAAGATATTTATGTTCTCTGTGTTGCATTCTCCTAAAAAACATTAGCGCCCTCCTGTCAGAGAGTTCTGACCAACTGTACTTTGAATTCAGGCAGTCTGTCCAAAATTCTAAATAAAACTTTACGATCTGCTCCTTGTGTTTGTGTTTATGTCCAAATCGTTGTCAGGCTGCCAGCAAGAATATAAACGGACAAAGGCAAGTTTTGCAGAAGAACACAACATTGAAATGTAATTTTCCTCCCATCTCATATGTCCCCATAGAGGCTTCCTAGGGACTGATTTAACAGGTTCATCCAAAAGAATCAGCTTCTTTAGTTTTAAATGACAATGTGCAATAATGGTTTTAAGAATTGTCATAGAGTAAAAAGTTAGATAAAAAAGTATTACTTTTTCAAATATCTGTACTTTATCATAAGTGTCTTCTTATTAATAGTTAGTAAGGTAGTTGTTAAGTTTAGGTATTGGATAGGATTAGGGATGTAGAATATGTCGCTGTGTACAGAGCTGTTTTTGACAAGGTAAAAAGGCTGTTGTTTTACACGGCCATTGAGGAATTTTAACCAAAGTATGTTGCTGACCCTAAAGAATCATACAAACTTATGGAAAATGGGCATCCGATGTCCCCTTTAAAGGGGTCATAGTATGCTACATGCACTTTTACAAGTTGTTTGAACTGAAATGTGTGTTGGCAGTGTGTGTACACAACCACCCTATAATGATAAAAATTCACCCAGTGTTTTTTTTTATCTACTAGAATCTTTACCCCTTTCTCAAATCGAGCCGATCTCCGATGCCTGTCTGTGTGATGTCACACAGACAGGCCCCTCCCACGATAGTTTGATTGACAGTAGCGTTTCAGCACAGACTGGACTGGCGTCTTACCTTAGCTCCGCCCTGAGTGAGCTGTCATCAGTCCGCCATTGTTTCACCGCCGGAGCAGATGTAGACAAGAATGACTCCTGAGCGATTGGGGTGTTTTGTTGTTGGATGTAATAATGAACATAGCAGTCGTCATTTACTCCCGACAGCTGAGCCGCTGAATATAGGGATTTCTTGAAAATGGCAGGGAAGTGTTTGATCAAGCATGGAGCTAAATGCTGCAGTGACCCTCCAGGACCAGAATTTTCTAACATATTTGTGAATTATATTTGTAAAAAAAATTCATTTTTAGACTTGCTCTATAACATTTTGTATACTGAACTAGCTTTCTTTTTCTGTCTTAGTTGAAAATACCAGAGTTGCAGGATCACTGGCTTGAGGATGTACAAGCTCCCGGCTTCTCATCTCATTCCTTGAACTTCATTGGCCCTCTGCTTTACGGTGTCATCACATTCACATTAGCATTTATTCTCATTGCTCAGAACACTTCTTTATGGATAAACTATGATGAAGCCACTTTGCTGTTGCAACCCTGCTGTATGGAATGGTTTTTTTTTTTAGTATCTTGGTTATGTTTACAAAATTAGCCACCATGTTTTTAACCATAAGTGCTACATTTGCAGATATTTGACACAAATTAGATATTCGGGACAACTACTACATTCCAAAAGAGATCCTGTTTCCTGTATTTTATAAAAACGACACGGATACCTAGATTTTTTTCTTTTTTCAACGGTTAGACATTTCCGGCTCTCTCTAGCGCCTGTAATGAACTCGAATGTAATCTGATTGAAATGGATCTCTGTGTTATTTTAATGTCTACCCCTAAATAGAAATACTTGTTTATATATTTGAAATAAAGTGACAACTGGAGAACTGCTATGAACGAATACAGTAATGGCGTTTCCTGTGAATGTCACTGGACAGATATCAACACAACTGCCCGATTTCCAGACAATCGCCATTGAGCATTTTCTACCGAGTTTAGTAAAGCGCATTTAACAACAATGAATTTCAGCATACTCTTAGCCCTGGAAATCAAAGCTACATCGATGGCTCAAAACACACGCGCACACAATCTAATAAACCCACATGATCCGCACTGCAAGAACAGATGGATCAAGGGGGCTGAGCAACCCACTCAACGAACAGTTGCTTAAAGTTAAAGCTGGTGCTGATGGTGGCATTATCAAGAGCTGCAGTGGAAGAGTAAATGCATGCGAGAGCTTGATATTTCTTTCTGCCGTACAGAGTTTTCAGATCCGAGTCTGGTGTGGTGTGCTCAGAGCACTTTGATAAAGTTCTTCCAGTAGGGCTGGTATATTTGTTCTTCCTTTTGTATTTAGGATTCAGGGATTTTTTTCTTTTTATTACAAAAGGAAGTCTCTTGAAACAGCTCTTAAGGGTGTGTTTGATGTCTGGGCTTAACTTCTATTCAAATTCAATGGAAGCGTGTTGCTGGAGAGAGCGCTTTCAATAATCAGTGTTGAAGTGTTTATCTACTGATGTCTTTTTAAAATGCTCTATTTGCTTGATCAGTCTTACTGTGACGGTCAACAAATGTACATTCATATTTATTAACACGAACAATCAAAGTAATTCAAATGTGAAAGTGGACATTGCTAACTCTATATAGTGATGCTCAAAAAGACCTAGCATTTGCTGATGTACCAATACAGTTTAGGAACAGTGTCACCTACTGGTTAGGAAATATGAAAAACATCTTTTTGCTTATCTTAAAGGGGTCATATGATGTGATTTCAAGTTTTCCTTTCCCTTTGGAGTGTTACAAGCTCTTGGTGCATAAAGAAGATCTGTAAAGTTGCAAAGACTAAAGTCTCAAATCCAAAGAGATATTCTTTATAAAAGTTAAGAGTCAGCCACGCCTACCTAAAACGGCTCGTTCTAACACGCCCCCACATACCTACATCACTGTGTGGAAATATTAGCATAATGCCGCCCAAATGTGCACGCAAAGAAAGAAGGCGTGGTTTCAGGAACAGCAATCGTGTTGATGCAGCCATGTCAGGGAGATGTAATACCTACATTATTTTCAATCTATCAGGATGAAAATAATGTAAGACTGTTCCCCAGCACCACCCTACAAAAAAGAAGTAATATTAGAGGATGTTGATGAGAATGGGTAAATTTTTAAAGGTGGATTATTCAAAACTTAACATAAGTTAATACATCACTTTGGCAACATATATAAAGCAACATGGGTTTTCAAAGGAATGGACATCACACAGTCCTCATGAGCCTGGATCTGTGCAGTTGTTGATTTGTTCTGGGTTCAGGCTCCGAGCTTTAGCGATGAGACGCTTGACTCCCACCATCCACTGACTGACTTCAGCAACATGATCCACCATCAGGCCTCTGTGGATCTCATCAGCTGCATCCCAGTTTTTTCTTTTCAGGTCTGAAACAAAACACATCTAGCATGTTTTTCCTTCTGTCAACTTTTATCAAGACCACAGCAGTCTAAACAAATTAAAGGGTTAGTTCACCCAAAAATGAAAATTCTGTCATTAATTACTCACCCTCATACCGTTCATCTTCGGAACACAAATTAAGATATTTTTGATGAATTCTGAGAGCTCTCTGACCCTCCCATAGACAGCCATGTAATTACCACGATCCAAGCTGCGTCACGCGGCGTTTTGCGCATCATGCGTTACGTTTTCCACGTTGTTTACTAGGGCTGTGTAAAAAAAAATTTTATTTATATCTGACCATAGAACGTGTGACTAAGTATGTTGTCCCATACTCAGAATTTGTGCTCTGCATTTAACCATCCAATGCGCACACACACAGCAGTGAGTGAACACACACACACACACACACACACACACACTGTGAACACACACCCGGAGCAGTGGGCAGCAAACTGTCGCATTAAAGATACAGTAAGGTTTGGTAACGTTATGTGCTTGAGCTTGTTGTTTGATGACAACTTTCTCTAACAAGTTTAAAACTCAGTTAACGTCTGAAATTATCCAGCTTTGTTCTTTGGACAATGTTTGGTCACTTAAACCATCCTTTTTACTGTCGATGAGGTCAATATAGACACATGTCCGTGATTCCTAAAGTCTCCAGGTGATTTAAACTAACTAAATATTGACCTAATAGATGAGTTTAAGCCATTTCCTGATTTGTGCAGCTCAACAGCCTTGCATTGCACATCATTTTCTACTCTATACTCAGGTTTTTCTATAAGATGAATGAGTATAGGAAATTAGCCTGTGTCACCTCATATTTATATCCAAGTGAAACGGAAAATCATGTTATTTTTTCCACTAGTGTTTAGAATCTTAATACCTAAGGTGAACTTAATGTACAATATGAAAAGAAATGTACTTCAGTTTGATTTTTTTACTCACATGGGGCTACCAAAATTGTGGCGCACTTATAATTTTTTTTCCAGATTTATTTAGAAATGCTTAAAACGTATATGCTATGTACTTGCAGTTTGAAAGACAAATGAATGAAATGTTACTGTAGTTTACTTGTGTTTTACTGGTTCCAGATATAAATTACAATCAGTAACATGTATAAAAAATAAAAACAGTTGCTGCATCTACAAAGCAAACAAAAACAATAAATGTCACAAATAAAGAATAAACACTTGAAAACAGAAGTACAGTAGAAAAGATGCTTGATAAAGCGTTAGCTGCCATAGTTTTAAAAAGTTGGTAAAAAAAAAAAACTAACCCAGACAGCACACGTACGTCTGTAAGATGTCTGTTAAAGATCGCTTCATCTGGAAAGCATCTGCTGTGTACAAACATCTGATAGACGTCTCTAAGATGTCAGTTTTGCATACATTCTAAAACATAAACATCTTAAAGACATCTTCTAAACGTCTGTTTGACATCTGACACGTCCTACAGATGTATTGCAGATGAGAAAACACTCTAAAAAATACGTTTTGCAGATGTATGTATGTGGTGTGTGGGCTATCAGGAAAATGATCTGCTATAAAAGAATCACAAAATGATACAGCATGATTTTACAAATTCATCATCGAAAAGACCAAATACATAGCAGTATATAGAAATTCTGCTCATCGTGTTAGCTCTACTTCTACATACAGACACGAAAAATTGAAAGGCCTTTTTTGTTTGCGTTTCATATGTTAGGTCAAACTTCTCGTCATTAAAGGCTGGCCCTCGTCTCTGCAGACGGACTCTGTGTCACACTGGTTTTTCATCAGGTGCCTCTGAAACTCTGGATACATGTCTTCATTGTTCTGCTGAAGAGAAGAAGCTTTTACGTCCTGTATAAATACAGCTGTTCAATTATGTGTTGTAGCTGTTCATATGTATTGATAAGGTATTACTATGGTTGTATGATTGCATACAGCGCTGTGGAAGTACAGCATAACTCATTTTAATCTGTCTTCCAGTAAAGTTGTGTATGTACATTATCTAATCTGGATTACGTAATCAGATTCCAAAAATTAAATAATTGTAATTAGATTACATTTTAAAATGCTCATAATCAGAATACATTTACTTTTTTATTGATTACATGATTGCATATTATTTACACATTGGCAGTAAATTATTCATAATTTATTGATTCTCTCATTTTAATTTTTTTTCTCTTTTAAAATGTCCTTTTCATGTAAATAAATTTGCAAACCATGCTTCTGAATTTGAGGGTGAAAAGCACTTCTCAAGCACTTCTTTAGTTTTGTTACTAAACACTGGTGATGTATAGAAACACAATATCATCATCACATCCAGTTAGTAACTGTTGATTATTGGTTACTGGAAGAAGAAAAAAAACTGTTTTCATGTTTATTAATATTTGTTCATGTAATGCAGGGGTTCCCAACCGTTTTTGTCAGCCAAAACCCTTAAAATAAAATATTTACTATATTTTAATATTATAATATTTATCTCTGAGGAAGTTAATATGAATTTATCAACTCACTAATGTAATGTTTAATGCACTTTATGATGTTAAAATTTAAAAAATGTAATATATTAACATTAATATAAACATTAACATTAAATATTAACATTAACGATAAAACGTAAATTAAAAAAGTAGTCAGAATACATTAGCTAAAATGAGTAACCTACTAACTACAATTTTCACAGTGTAATCTGTAATCAGTAACAGATGTGTAATTATTGAGTTCTGTGGTCTTTATTGGTCTAAAAAATATATTTTTAGAAATCATGCTGAACGTTGCATTAACACAATCATAATGTCAAATTGCATAAAAAAACTAAGAAGTTAACATTCCTAGTTATGCAAAGAGTCCAAACTACATTCTGTCAAAATACAAAATCAAATGATAAATACAAGAAAACTGATTGCATTTTGCTTGCTTTTACAACAGAGGAAATGGTTCTAACAGTGTGTCTCACCTCGCTGGGTTGATTTGGCAGTAACTTTGCAATAAGTTCTCTGATGTTGGCAAAAGTCGGACGCTGAGTTGGTTCCAGGCTCCAGCACATTTTCATTATTGTGTACCTACAAGAGGTCAAGTCACTTGATGTATATAGATTTGCTTATTATTTCTTTCCCAAAAATGTATAAATGCTTTTAAACTCACATTTCATGAGGGGCAAAATCTGGTTGTGGCATGTGATAACCGTCTTTAATCATCTTATAGAACTGTGCATCAATTACAACATTGGGATAAGGACTCATACCTAAAAACAGAAAACACAGTAACGCCAACAAAATGCCTTCATGAAATCCTATTTATAAAAATGTTTCAGTTTTTTTTTTTCACCTACCCAGGGAAAGGATCTCCCACAAAAGCACACCGTATGACCAGACATCACTCTGTACGGTGTAAAGACATTCAAATATGCTTTCAGGTGACATCCATTTTACTGGCAGCCGTGCCTGCAGAACCAGTACAACACAATGTAAAAAGAAAAAGGATAATTTTTTGATTAAATGACTTTTAGAGTAGATGTGAAAAAGGAAAAAGATGTTTACCAACTGCTACTCTGAATACAATGATAACGAGCAAACAATCCATGCTGAATTTGCAATATTGGAATTCTTCAGAACAATATGCAGAGGAGCAGTAGCTAATATCGATATTTATTTATGCATATATTTTGGGTTCTGCAAAAAAAAAATCTGTATTTCTTTGTCCATGTGATAATAAGGGGACAGGGTTTTCACATGCAGGATTAGCAATCAAAATGTTAAATTAACAAAAGTTGTAAAGTATGTAATATTTACAAGTATTCATTTAGCAGATCCAGTCACTTTTTTCATACAGAACATAAATGGTCAAAAGAATTGTCAGAGGTGTACAAACAGCCATGGAAGGTTTGGCTGTTTCTTAAATGCTTGCAGAATATATACACTTTACATCCACTATATGCAGACTAGAAATGATCAGTGTCAAGACATAAAAACCACATTTTGCTAAGCAAAATTCAATTTGTGTTGTGTCTCACAAGAACTGGATGGGAAGCTGTCATATCTGAAGCCTATGGAAGCCTGTTTCCGCCACAGAAAAAAAAAACGGTATTTGAGACTTTTTATCTCACACTTCTGAGAACAAAAAAGCCACAATTGTGAGATATAAACTCAGAATTGTGACTTTGCACACAAAGCCAGAGTTGCAGGATATAATATTGCATGCATATTGCATGTATATATAGAGATTCTGACCT